GCGACCGTTCGCAAGAAGCAGTGATGTCAGCACCTGGGCTGCATCACCGCAAGCCTCACCTGGTCAGCTCTGAGCTGCCCGGCAAGGCCCTCACAAACGGTCGCCGGTCCGCGTGCGTTGTCCTTTGTTGGCCAGATGGCCATTGGCATCCCCAAAGTCCAAATTACTCAAGTCATGTCAAAACCACTGCCCCTGCAGCACCCCAGCCCACCACGACCGTGCATAGTACTTGCACTCCCTACCTTCAGCTTCCTGAGGCTAGAACGCCTATCTTCCGTCCACCGACGGGCATTAGCCCCGCATCGTGCCCCTCCCTGTTCTATCCTCAGCCCCGTCCACGCCCATCTTCCGTCTCATCTCTTCCGTCCACGGACGGACGTTTGCTTTTCATCGATCGTCCGCGGTGGACTTGAGGGATTCTAACTGCCACCGTGCCAACACCGGACCACGCCCACAGACCAGCGACCGTTCGTAAGAAGCAGTGATGTGAGCACCTGGGCTGCATCACCGCAAGCCTCCCCTTGTCAGCTCTGAGCTGCCAGGCAAGGCCCTCACAAACGGTCGCCGATCCGCGTGCGTTGTCCTTTGTTGGCCAGATGGCCATTGGAATCCCCAAAGTCCACATTCATCAAGTCCTGTCCAAACCACTGCCCCTGCAGCACCCCAGCCCACCACGACCGTGCATAGTACTTGCACTCCCTGCTTCAGCCTCCTAAGGCTAGAACGCCCATCTTCTTTCCACAGACGGGCAACCACCGGAACTACACAAACGCCTTCAGTTACACATGCTACACTCCTCCTGAAAAGGGGTCGGCGGCGCCCGGGCGAAGCCCTTACAATCCGGGCGCCGGCCAGGACGCCCGTGGCATGCCCGGAGGGCCTTCGGTGGTAACCGAAGGTTATAGACGCTGGCCCTGGCTGCCGCCGGTCCCAAAACGGACGGCCCCCTCTCAAACGCTTCTCGGCGCCTCGCAGGGTGCAACCTTGGCGTTGGCATCTCCACCTTTGTGGGCTTTAGCGCAGGCCACAGCTAGCCTGTCCGAGGCCACGCAGCC